GGGTTGAGAGAGATATATATATATATATATATATATATATATATCTCAGTGTTTCCCCTACCATTGTTTTGAAAAGAACAAGAAAAAATGACAAAATAGCCTATATTCCAAGAAAGAAAAAAAGACGCACGAGCTCTATGTATTAACTTTAGCGCAGTGTTGCCAACTTGGCGACTTTGTCGCTAGATTTAGTGACTTTTCAGACCACTTTAGCGACTTTTTTCCAAAAAAGCTAGATCTAGCAAATCTAGCATCTTCTTGGACAGACCTTATTTAGTTTCTGAGACTCTCCGGTACTGCCGCACGAGCGCGAGGTCTTGCTTTGCCAGCATGCACACACCTCTCTGTGCGTCTGCTCTGTTCAGCAAGCGCCTGAGAGGAGCAGTGTTTTCAGTTAACCCTCTAAGCACCAAAGTCGCAAAATTGCGACAAAACGTCATACTTAATAAAATAGGCTATAGATCCTAATATGGTGTAATATCTCATTTGTATTCCCTACCACTAGATGGCAGACATGTAGTACTTCGATTCTAGACCAAAATGACGTCATCTCTGCGGCTGATCTGTTTAGCGAGCAACTGAGGAGCAGCGCTTTCAGTTAAAATGATATTCTGTCGCTTTAACTCTATTTTACAGGCAAATATAGCCGAAATCACAGCACAGCCATTGTCTTTATCTTATGTGTATTTGATTTCATTAGACAACTGATTATGAATCAGGATTTTTGTGCAGATTAACATCTAAGAGAGAGCTGGTTATGTAGTCTTAATGGGCTGCGTTTCAGTCACTATTTCATATTCATCCCGTTGTCTGACAACAGAAACAAAAAAATATATCAGTGAAAACCGTTTTATTGAGAATTTGGCTGCATTAAAATGCAATTTGTGAGCACAGGCAAACAAATGTAAAAGGTATGACACAATGACGTTGTGAATATGCTAATTAACGTATGATGTCATCTAGCGACTTTTCAAGCGGACTTTAGCTACTTTCAGGTGAAAGAAGTTGGCAACACTGCTTTAGCGGTAAAAATGTTGAAGCGGAATGGAGGTGACAATCCTAAAAAGGCAAAAATTTGTTTTTGTTTCTTAAAAGCAACAAAATCCGGAGAAACTACTCAAGCAAAGCCAGCCATTAAAACTAAGTTATCTAATTAGTGTACATGTTGTTTTTATTATTTTTTCTTTGTGGATTTGCTTGTTCACGTGACATTTTGCGGGCCTCGCAGCGTTTTTTGCGACAGCGTAAAACGTACCGTCTCCAGCACGCGAAAGGAAGAGAAAGCAGAAGAAAATGGGTAAATGTCAGTTCAGTAGCAGTTGCAAGTTCATTTTTATGTGCGTAGGGATGTGTGATAAATATCGTCTATGATGGTATAGTAATTAGCTTATTGTTTTAAAGATGTGCGAGCCAACATTTGAGTTTATCACTCACGCTTTCACTGCGTGATATATGCAGATAACGTTATATGCCCTCAAAATTCAAGATACATGGGCATTTTTGCCCTGATGAGTTTTTGTCTTATAATTACAGTATATCATTAAGATATCATGTAGTTATTTTACAATATCACACGAGCAAGAGTGTCGTTTTCCCCAAATCAGCACGGTTGCAAATGTGATATTAATCACTATATTGTTTTTTTTTTCTTTATTTCGCCATTGAAAATTTCTAAATGAAGAACAGCAGAACAGAGTCTCTGTGCAACAGACAGAAATGTTTTTTTTTTATACTGACTGAATCCACGTTTTGAACAAATCAGTTTAATTAATGATTAAATGACCCATTCAGTAAAGATGGTCACTTGCTTCGTTTTCGTTTGAACAAATAACTCACTCATCAAGACTACCTACTGGCAGCTAAGTTTCATATTTAAAGTACATTTTAATTAAAAAGTTAAAATTAGAAATAATTTCATATTTAAATACTGCATTAAATTTATGTAGACAAATTGTAAATGCTGTGTAAATATATTAATGCCACTTCGTTGTCACCTCTGCATTGCAATGATGGATTTTGTTAATAATGATTTCATTTGATTGGTAAAAGCCATATTCTATGCTAATCTATTTTAATTTGAATGTTAACATTTGACAAAAGGTGATGCATGCATCTAATAACACCCTGTTTTTTATGTTTTTAATTAATTTATAAAGCCACTTTAAACTTTGTCGTTACATACAGTAT